CAATTAATGCCACCATGCAGACTGACTGGATATATCCCGTCAGTCTGCTCGGTGCTCCTCTCCGCTTCAAATATGACGAACATTTAAACAAAAGTTCTGTAATTTATTTATCAACAGAATTTAAAATTTGAAGTATAGCCTGAAGTCTGTGATTTTGACAGTTTGAAAAAGATTTTTACGAARAGCAAATCTTTCCCACTAAATTGGTCATGTGACTAGGACATAAGGGTGTCCAGGGACTCCAGGGGATTAATCATCAAATTAATCATTATCGGCTAAACACCAAAATTAATTGTGATTAATTTTTTGCCAATAATCGCCTGACCCTATGGCCAACACAAATGTCTATACCTCARTCTAAAACCTACTGAGTTACAATTTGGTGTGGTAGTAGTGGAGACTCGTCCTGACATGCTCCATGAGGGAACACCTCTCACAAGATCACAAAGCATCAATTACAAAAAGTTTGRCCAAAACAACCAGAATAGCTATTTCTCATTTTAAGAGGATCTTAGTTTAAAACTAGGATGAAAGGTGGTGAGTGATTCCTTATTTCCTTCGTGGAATGCTAAGCCTTTAGTTTGTCTTGGATTTATGACTGATAAATTCAGCACCTGTACAAAGTTTCTATAGGTACAGGCAGGGTTGAAGACATCCAATGAAACACCCTTGTTTTCTATTCAAAAACATGCATTTTTTCTATGCACAGTAAAAAGGGACCAGCCACATTAGACACATTCCTGATCCTTCAACAGTTACAACATGTCAGAAAGAAGCTACAGYCGATGTTTGATCAGGCAGGGATCTTAAAGCTGTGTGCCAACAAGGCTGACAGACATCCTCCTGTGTGAACCCTGTTTAACAATGAAGGCAGCATGGCAGCAAGAACAAGCAAAAGCTTTTTCTGACTCTTTAATTAAGCAGAAGGACGAAGTGTAAACCGTCATTAGTGCCATAAAACCTCTCGACAGATCTGGGGCGACAAGAAGGGTTCATCTCAGTTCTTTTTGCTTTTGTTCTCCCCCCACCTTTTTTTTTCTAGCCATAGCTTTCCTTTTATCTGTTAAACACTTGAGAATTATTCATTTTTTACTCTTATCTCACCAAAACGTCTTCCTAATTCGAGACTTAGCTGCCAATTGTAGAAAAAGTCAAGTTGAAAGCGGTTGTCAAAGGGTCATAAGGTGTTTTGACAGCACTAAGTTTCCACTGCTCGCTGCGAGACACGCCCGTTTAAACGTCCRACTTTGTTCATTTCAAAACCAAACTAAACAAAATGAAGCTGCAGCAGGTTACACGAGCTGCAGGGTGTGAAGACTGGATTCAATCTTACAGTTCTCAAAGATTAAATAGCTCAGATTTTCTGAAGTGGACTCCAGTGGAGTAATTATGAACAGTCAGTATATTACCTGCTGTAGATAACCATCAGTGCATGTCTGGAAAAGTAAGCAGCAAGTTCTCTGGTAGTTATAAAACAAATAACTGGAAGCAATCGTGACAATGCTAAACAGAAGCAAAATTAGATTGAAATTAGAAAAATATCAATATATTAGCATTATTAATATAACAACAAAATTAGCTTAAAAAAGGCAATATTTGAAGAACTAAGGGATTCGTACCTGCACATTTATTTTACTATACCAGCTCATTTGWTTTCKGACAAGAATAAAACACACCAGTTTTGGTCATTCCAAAACTGTGTACTTTTACTTTAAATACACTGCGAGTGCTTCTCTTGCTAAGTCTGATGACAAAGAAGAGGATGAGGAGGAGAAAGAGGAAGTTCGACCCGAGCAGCTCCTGAAACCGTCAAGATAGCTGACTGAGTGCATTTATATACAGTGCAACATATATTTTTATTTAGATGTTTTGCTATTTTAATTTAAAGGTTGTGGACAACCAAGAAATTTGGCAGACAACCAGATTTTGTCAAATTGTTGGTTTTATTTTAATTTGTTTTAATTGGCTTTATGTGTCTGTTTTATTTTATAGTTTTGATTTTTGGATTTGGCTTTTATTATGTACTGTGACTATTGTGTATTTTATTGATTGTGACTGTACAGCACTTTGGTCCTATGGTTGTTTAAGTGCTTTATAAATAAAGTTGGTATGGTATGGTTGGACAACCTGGAATATTTCCTTACGTCTACCCTTGGCGGTATAACTGTTTGGAATGACCAAAATAGGTGTGGGGTACCACCACAAACTTCTTTCCCTAATGACCTCAACCTGAAGATGGCATATTTTTGTATCGAATCAGATTTATGAGCTCTAAAAGTGAAAACTAGAGTTTTTTAATTAATAATAAAATGTGTTGGGAGCCAGTGATAGGAAGCTAAAACAGTAACCATTGCTACACAAAGTGTACGGCTAAATATATATATATA